ACAGACTAACTCGGTGAAGAGCAGTTTAGATTGAGGAGATGAGACTTTTATAGCTCCAGGGGAAGGCGGGACCCCCTTGCCTGCAACAGTCTCATTGGCCCTGACAGGCATTTTGATAAAGTTTCCTCAGGTTGGTCTTGCGTGGACGCAATCCCCCATACTAATGTGTTTCCCTCCCTCAGGAAACATTGGTTATATTAATACCCTCCAGTTTTCATGTGACATCACATTCCAAGGAAAACGCTCCGATGGAGGGCTAAAAAGACATTATTTTCCGCTGCCTGCCAACCGATAAGCAAGTCATACACTGTTACTTTGAGTTGCTGGAAATGCTGGGTGGCTTTTGTGCTTTCGGACGTACTAATTGAGGAGAAGGCAAGCCTGGGCTGTGTTAGGTGAGGGATTCCCCACAAGGTAAACATAAACATACCGCAGTCGAGCGGCAACAAGGACCTGGCGGTTTCTAACGTTAGAAATGCGGCAGTGGATGCTGTAACTGATTTTATCAGCTTAGTGAAGTCTGAGAGCATTTTCTAGTTAAGTAAGTATGTAGTTTCAGCAATCTGTTCACATTAATATAGGCTAATAAAAACAGGATTTTATGGAAAGTGAAAATATTAAACAATAATATGCTAATCAAGCCTAAATAATTTCTTTTAATTAGAAAGTCCGGCACACACAGTGTCTGCAAATTCTGGCCTTTGAACAAATGTAGTTGATGACCCCTATTTTACAATCTTGGAACAGGATGGTGAGGTGAAGCGTAATTAGTTGGTTGTAATCTGCAACCTCACCACTAGATGCCACTAAATCCTACACACTGGTCCTTTAACATTTGTTACAACAAGGACCATCAGCTGGTACATCTCTTAGTAGAAAGCACATTAAATGTTCTGTTTCGGTTTAGGCAGACCAAGATGCGGGCATAGCACATAACAAGAGTAGTGTAAATAAAAGTGTTAAATGATCAAAGAATGAAGTGACTGGCGGGCTGATGGAGACTGGAGGCAGGCAGCTTGGAGATGAAGTGGTGTGGCTGGTGTTTGAAGAGGTGGCTTGAGGTGAGCAGTGAACAGGGGGCGCAGGCACAGAAAAACCACATGTAAGCAAATAGACACTAGGCAATTATAACACATGGCCGAGAGGAGAGTTACTGTACCACTAAGGAGACGGAACAATCCGGTGATGAGTAGCAGGAGAGCTGGCTTATTTAAACAGGAAGTAGATGAGATGATTGGAATCAGGTGAGTAGATCAGCCAGGTGCCTGGAATGGTAATCTGTGTCCACAACATACACACACACGTGCAAAGACACACAAAGGAGGAGGGGAACACAGAAAAATTGGAATCACAGCCAGAGCTGTGACATTTAAATGGTTTCTCAGCATGTACATCTTCCCAGTACTTTGCTGATTTTGGACAATTACAAAAGAAATGGGTGTGGCCACTAACTTGCCCACAAACTTACCTTTCCAGCGCAATGGTGATGACCCTCTGACGAATGTGGATGTCACTTGTTACTGGGGCTCTAAATTATCTTGTTTTTTTGAGTGATTTTTGAAGACAGAGAGGGATTTCCGTAAATCATTGCACCACAGAGGGACCACACAGAAGAAAAGTTTAGAATGAGGTAATTAACGTTTTGGGTCTTGGCAGATTCATTAGCAGCGTTTCCTCATTATGTGATAAAAACATAATCTGAATCCAAATTAGCAGTATACTTGTAATTTCTAGGAGACAGGGTTGTTAAAGAACCTATTTGAATGCCACAGAAATATTTAAAATAAATGCAAAACTTTTTTTTCAATTTGTCCTTACAAGCTGCCTTGTCATGTGACAAAATCTTATCTAGCTTGTCACAGTCAACCTAATTGCTGTGTTAGAGCAGGGATACGCCTCAGACTCAGGTCTCATTATTCTGACTTTCATTTCATGAATACTTTGCAGATTCTTTCTTCCTGACTTCAACTGCCGTCACTTATTGTTCCGTTTCTGAGCAGAGTAGTTCTGGATCATAAACTCCATCTCCTTACATTTGCATATTCTCTCCAGAGCCACAAAGTCTGCATTTGCCTCAGCTGTCTCCTCAGGTGAAAGGGTAGCACCATCACATAAAAAAAGGAAATGTTTCAGGCAATGGCAGTTGCAAGGACACTGCAATTAAGCATTATGGCCACACCTGTTGTGCAAGGCTCTTGAATTCATGCAGCTTATTGTTGTGCAGTGCATTATCTTGACAATCTCTGTGGGCTTTAATTATTGGAACACTTAAAAGTGTGTTGTAGAGTTCATCAGTGCTGCGTAACACTCAACACAGGGCTGCCAAGAAAGAAACGAGTAGGTGGGCGGGGGGCAATTAGAGTGTAGAGCAGCTTCCACTCAACTCTCGTCCCAGAAGAATTTTGTCCTCACATTGTGGTTCCAGTCGATAATTCAGCCACTGGATTTAACCATTTGTCATCATATCAAACTCCCCATTGCCGCTGTGACTGGCTTTTAGTGGGGCTGGAAAAAAGGGCTGTCAGGGTGGAGCAGTGCATCCAGGTCAGCCTGTAACAAAAGAAACTGCAGGACTTCATGGCCAAAATTTTGTTGAGCAATTGATCATGTCTTCCAGACTTCCTTTCAAAACAGCTACACATGGGAACACATGACCCCTACATGTGAGTGCTGCAATTTGACAACAGTTACAGTTTAACTGACATTGTTAACTGTTGACAGACATCTTTTATTTACTTCCCAAATTCCTGTGTTGGAGCATAGGTACTCTTTGTATTACATCTGTTTTGTGATTGTTGATTTGTGACTTAGTATAATTTAGTTTCCCTGCAACCAGTTCACTGCTAACCAAGCTAACTACTGTACTAGCTGTCTGAGACTAATGTGTTGCTAATGCAACATTCTAGATTGCTGTTGAATTACTGTTTGGCTAAGTGTTAGGCTATGTATTTTACTCTTTACACTTAAACTCTTGTGTATATTTAATATATTTATTAGGGTGTTGTACTTCCTCTGGGGACTTAATGTTAATTGTTCACTTCCAGTTTTCCTTGTTACTGTACTACTGTACTGGGTTGCCAACCATTGGACTATTAAGACAGGGTGTTTGGTATGAGATAGAAGGAAACCCTCCTGCTCTGTTATCCCTCAGTCTGTCTGTCATGTTATGTTGCACTACCCAAACAGAGAATACGAGAATGTGAGTGACAGCGTTGCTATGATACGCCTGACAGCGATATGGATAGGACTTCTTCCCACAATCAAGTATGTCGGCATTTTTATGTCACATCTTTAGATAAGTCCACTAGTGAGGGTAATGCAGATGTAAGACCTGTCGTTTTAGACTAAATTTGCATTATAACATCAGCATTCATTGAATTTATGAATGATTTACTGTCAAAATCAGCAGGGGAAGACGTGTAGAAACAGCTTTTTGAACTTTCTCTCTTGTTGACAGTCCCTTCACTTCCCTGTTTTTCATCTCATTTTCATGAAGCAATGGTAGCAAATCGATTTTAAATTATATTATTCTATATAGTAATATTCTCCAAATCTGCACATAATCTTAAACCCTAGTATTTCATGCCCACTGGAATCCACTTGAACTGGAAAGAACTACCCAAGAAAAAACATGTTGTAGATACAGACATAGCCTCTTATTTATGCTAATTAATCTGATACCCAGGGATTTCTGAAAAGGCCTCACTCTTGTTTAAAACTAAATCCACAGAGTTACCAGAGTCTGATATGAGTAATAAGATATCATCTGCGTACAGAAATAATTTATGTTCACAACCCCCACCCCATCCCCTGTAACGCCTGTGTCCGCTTTTTTCCTGCAGTTAGTGGTTCTTGAAATAAAACAAAAGGCCTAGGACAGAGAGGATCTCCTTGTTTTGAACCCCTCGTCAGGTTTAAGGAGGGGGGCATCATTCCATTAGTTAAAACAGATGCTGTAGGAGATAAATAAATTACCGTAGCCCATTTTATGTGGAAAGTCCCCTTTACCCTATTGAAAGCCCTTTCGGTGTCGAGCAACTGTAACAGTGCATCATCCCTTCTGTAAGATCATTTGATAACAAAAAGCAGTCTATGCTTGAATGTCATTTATGATTGTGTGAGTAAAAGGTATATTTTTTGTCTCTGGGGTTTATCAGTCTCCAGATAAGATCAAGGCCTTGATCCTTAATCAGTAAATGTATAGCCTATCTATCTTTTGGTACATTAGTGGTGGGAGAAGTTTTATCTACAATCCCATCTTGCACCTGGTTGAAATCCCCTGCGATTATTGTATGGTAGGGTGACCACCCGTCCCGCATAACGCATGCGCACAGTGTTTGAAGCCCAATTCATGTGTCCCGCAAATTGAGACCGTTTCACGTATAATCCATGCTTGCTCAAAAAAAAAGTTGGTCACTCTATATCCTCGAGCCCCAGGCACCAAAACGAACATTACTTGACAGTTCAGCACGCTACTGTTGCCACACCCACGTGACCCACCCCTCTGTTGAACTGCTGACTAGGTTGTTGTTAACTTTTTTGTTGTTGTCATGACAGCGCACGCATATGCATACCAGACACTCTGGGAAGGAACCAATTCGAAAAATGGAGAAAGAGACTGAGTCTGAGGCACCGCCATCATCAATTAAAAAGAGAAGGTGTGGGTACAAGAAAGACTGGGAAAATGAATATTTGTGGCTGAAAGGTGTTGAGGGGGATACCGAGAGGGCTTTTTGTGACCTTTGCAAAACGTTCTTCTCAATCGGACATGGAGGGGAATACGATGTCAAACGACAAAGACTCACGGAGACTCACAAGAAACGTGTCCAACAGAAGAGACATCCAAATCTATGGATGCTTTCCTCCGACCTAAAAACGACTTTCTAGCTGAAAAAGTGACTGCTGCAGAGGTGACGAGTGTGTCCAACACGCTACATCATATCGAGCAGGAGATTGTGGCACAAAGCTAGCCCCAAAGATTTATCTGGACTCTGGTCCGGATGAAGGCAGAAGCCATTGTCATGGATGTGCTTGCCCCTGCCTCTGTTGAAGATTGCTTGAAAGTCCTCAGAAAACCACTGAATGAGCAACGAGAGGCAACAACCAAAGGTAAAGTTAAAGTTATGTTCATGGATGTAACATTGTTGTGTGTTAGCTATTTGTCTAACGTTAGCTAGCTAATGTTAGCTAATCACCTTCTTCTACTGGTATGTTAAAAGTCAACTTTTCCTTCAGTTCACTGAAATTGCATTAGTAGCTAACGTTAGCTAACATAATGCTGCTCATCCGTGCCTTCGTGAAATCAGGCTCTGTGTATCCTTACATGATTGTGACAACATTTCACTATTCGTTATCTCCCAAACTAAACAAACAAAAGCAACTCTAATTTTTGAAAAGTTATAAATATTTCTATAGATAATATTTATATAAAATCAATGATCAAAAACAGTAAAGCAGTATCTTGTATTTTTTATACGTTCATTTATAAGTTCATCCCATCTGTGTGTGCCTCCACAGCCCACACGCCATTCTTCTCAGTGGCTTCAGATGCCTCCAGTCATGGGACCACCAAGCTATTCCCACTGTCAGTGCGTTACTGGACGCCAGACTTGGGAGTACAAACGAAGGTCCTTGATTTCTATGATGACAGTGATGAAACATCTGCCGCGATCAACAACCAGATAGTCACCAAGCTGGAGGAAAACGGACTGGGATTAGACATGTTATCTGCATATTCCGCTGACAGTGCTAGTCTGAATTACGGGAGATACAACTCTGTCTTCCAGAAACTAAAAGAGAACAACAATTGCATTTTGAAGGGAAACTGTGTGGCCCACATCGTTCACAACAGTGCAAAACACGCAGGAGATCGGCTAAATATTGACATTGAAAATGTCTTCAACAAGACCTTTAGCCACTTCTCCTCATCTGCCAAACGCATTGAGGAACTTAAGTCAATTCACACCTTTGTGGAGATAGAGTACCAGTCCCTGCTTAGACATGTGCCCACAAGATGGCTGAGCTTGTGGCCTGCTGTGAAGAGGCTTCACGACAGCGGGGCTCCTATCAAGACCTACTTTCTCTCATTGGGAGAGGACCAGTGCCCAAAGTCACTATGGCGGCTGTTCAAGGATGACCAAGATGGTGAAGGCAACCCCCTTGATCTACAGGTAATTAATTTTAATTGCACTCAACTTTTTTTTTTCATCTAAATATTATTACATGAAACAGGGATTAGAGAAATGATGATAATGCAAACAGTGCCAGCACACAGGATGATTGACTCTCCTTACTTCTTTTAGGTTTACCTGTCCTTCCTTCTGCCTTTACTAACATGCAAGTTCACCATCCTTCCTCCCCCTTCTCATTCCGTGAACCTCTGTTCCTGTGGTGTTGAGCAACTACAATTCCTGTTAATCCTATAATTTTATATTATAATTTATTTAAAGTGAATAAATTGTAATGAAAAATGAATAAATAGCTAAAGTAAATCGTAAGTGGAAGTGCATCTGTCAGTTCATTGAATGTTCAAAATATTATGAAACTTTATTTAGAAAAAAAATACACATTGGTTGGCCTATTCATGAGCATACATCAGCAATTACACATGTAATTACAGGGGAATAGGGCATTATTAATATACCATGTAAGGTGGTATGTGCTAGAAATGGGTAAACCACTATCAGTGAGTCTGCCCGTGGGGTGGGGGCACCGCCGCGCCAGGCAGTGTCCCACATTGTCCCTCAGAAACATACCCCTTGTCCCCCATTGGGCTTATTAGCAGGTGGTCACCCTATTGTATGGCCGCCTACTATTTCCCTGATCACTTTGTTCACAATATGGAAGAAATCTGGATCTTCCTTATGAGGACGTACACTCACCGGCCACTTTATTAGGTACACCTTGCTAGTACCGGGTTGGACCCCCTTTTGCCTTCAGAACTGCCTTCATTTTTCGTGGCATACTTTCAACAAGGTCCATATTGACATGATAGCATTATGCAGTTCCTGGAGATTTGTAGGCTGCACATCCATGATGCGAATCTCCCGTTCCACCACATCCTAAAGGTGCTCTATTGGACCATTGGAGAACAGTGAACTCACTGTCCTGTTCAAGAAACCAGTTTGAGATTATTTGAGCTTTGTGACATGGTGGTGCATTGTCCTGCTGGAAGTAGCCATCAAAAGATGTGGTCATAAAGGGATGGACATGGTCAGCAACAATACTGTCACATTAAAACGATGCTCAGTTGGTACTATAAGGCCCAAAGTGTGCCAAGAACATATCCCCCACACCATTACACAACCAACACCAGTCTGAACCGTTGATACTGACTTTACCATCTTTACCAATTCTTTTTGTTATAGTGTACCGAGCACCTGGCCCGTATTCTGAATTCTTATCTGAATTTGCAGAGTTTTTGTCAACTTTAGTCCTTAAAACGGACAAAGTTATTATTGTAGGGGATTTTAATATTCATGTGGATGTTGAGAATGACAGCTTCAGTACTGCGTTTATCTCTTTGTTAGATTCCATCGGCTTCTCTCAGAGTGTTCATGAATCGACTCACTGTTTTAACCACACCCTCGACCTTGTTTTGGTGTATGGTATTGAAATTGAACATTTAGTGGTGTTCCCACAGAATCCCTCTTTATCCGACCACTGTTTGATAACTTTTGAGTTTGTATTGCTGAACTACTCGCCATTGGGCAAAAATTTCTATACAAGATGTCTGTCTGATAGTGCCATAGCTCTAAATACATTATCTAGTCACATAGTAACGGAGGACTCCTATGCTAATTTCAGTCCCTCCCAAATCGATCATCTTGTTGATAGTGCTCGCTGCGAATGACACTCGACTCTGTAGCCCCTCTAAAAAAGAAAATACTAAAACAAAGACGGTTAGCTCCATGGTATAATACTGAAACTCGCAAATTAAAGCAAATATCACGGAAACTTGAGAGGAATTGGCGTTCCACCAAAGTGGAAAATTCTCGTTTAATTTGGCAAGATAGTCTTAAAACTTATAGGAAGGCCCTCCGTAATGCCAGAGCAGCGTACTACTCGTCATTAATAGAGGAAAATAGGAACAACCCCAGATTTCTTTTCAGCACTGTAGCCAGGCTGACAGAGAGTCACAGCTCTATTGAGCCAAGTATTCCCATAGCTCTCAGTAGTTACGATTTCATGAGCTTCTTTAATGATAAAATTCTAGCTATTAGAGACAAAATTCACCAAGACCTGCCCTCAATTGGCACCGACTTATCTCTTAACTCAGGAACCTTAGAAACAGCTGTAGAACCAGATACATGTTTAGACTGTTTTGCTTCCCTCAATCTTTACCAACTAACTTCAATAATTTCTTCATCTAAACCATCAACCTGCCTCTTAGACCCCATCCCGACTAGGCTGCTTAAAGATGTTTTACCCTTAGTCAGCACCTCTATACTAGATATGATCAATCTATCTTCATCAACAGGCTATGTACCACAGTACTTTAAAGTAGCTGTAATTAAACCTCTTCTGAAAAAAACCAAACTTGATCCGGATGTTTTAGCCAACTATAGACCTATATCTAACCTTCCATTTCTCTCTAAGGTTCTGGAGAAAGCAGTTGCTAAACAGCTGTGTGACTTTCTACAGAGCAATAGTTTATTTGAGGATTTTCAGTCAGGATTTAGAGCTCATCATAGCACAGAGACAGCACTGGTGAAAATTACTAATGACCTCCTTATTGCATCAGACAAAGGACTTGTCTCTGTACTGGTTTTATTAGATCTTAGTGCTGCATTTGATACCATTGACCATCAGATCCTATTGCAGAGACTGGAATATTTCATTGGCATTAAAGGAACCGCTCTAAGCTGGTTTAAGTCCTATTTATCAGATCGATTTCAGTTTGTACATGTTAACGATGAGTCCTCCATGCACGCCAAAGTTACTCATGGAGTTCCTCAAGGATCTGTCCTTGGACCAATCCTCTTCACTTTATATATGCTTCCTTTAGGCAATATTATCAGGAAACATTCCATAAGCTTTCATTGTTATGCAGATGATACTCAGTTATATCTATCGATCAAGCCAGATGAAACTCATCAGTTAGCTAAACTTCAAATGTGCCTTCAGGATGTTAAAACCTGGATGACCTGTAATTTTCTCATGTTAAACTCAGATAAAACTGAAGTTATTGCTCTGGGGCCTAAGCACCTCCGTGACGCATTATCTAAAGATATAGTTTCCCTGGATGGCATCGCCTTGGCCTCCAGCACCACTGTGAGGAATCTTGGAGTTATCTTTGATCAGGACATGTCGATTAAGTCTCACATTAAGCAAATTTCAAGGACCGCCTTTTTTCACCTACGTAATATTGCGAAAATCAGGAACATCCTGTCTAAAAATGATGCAGAAAAACTAGTCCATGCATTTGTTACTTCTAGGCTGGATTACTGCAATTCCTTATTATCAGGCTGCTCGAAAAAGTCCATTAAGACTCTTCAGCTGATCCAGAATGCTGCAGCACGTGTTCTGACAGGAACCAGGAAAAGAGATCACATTTCTCCTGTTTTAGCTTCTTTGCACTGGCTTCCAGTAAAATCCAGAATAGAATTTAAAATCATTCTTCTTACCTACAAAGCTCTTAATGGTCAGGCACCATCTTATCTTAAAGAGCTCATAGTACCTTACTACCCCACCAGAGCACTGCGCTCCCAGAATGCAGGGTTACTTGTGGTTCCTAGAGTCTCCAAAAGTAGAATGGGAGCCAGAGTGTTCAGCTATCAAGCTCCTCTCCTGTGGAACCAGGTTCCAGTTTGGGTTCAGGAGGCAGACACCATCTCCACATTTAAGAGTAGGCTTAAGACTTTCCTCTTTGATAAAGCTTATAGTTAGGGCTGGCTCAGGTAGTCCTGAACCATCCCTTAGTTATGCTGCTATAGGCCTAGACTGCCGGGGGATTTCCCATGATGCACTGAGCTCCTCTCTCCTCTACTTTCTCTCCCTCTGTATGCAACCTTATCCCATTATTGCATGTTACTAACACAACTTCTCCCCTTTCTGGTAGTCTTGTGCTTTCTCGTCTCTCTCCTCTCTCCTATCACTTCCTGCAGGTTTTCTGGCTCTGGAGCTGTGGAGTCTGGATCTGTGGCTGCGGGTCACCTGCTGCCCCTGTGTTCCTGCTCGACACCCTCTACTGCAACGACTATTGTTGCTAGTCTTATTGTTATTATTGTTATTATAATCATTAACATTACGATGGTTACCATTAACACTATTATAAATATCTGTACCATTTTTCATTTAGTCTATAGCAACATTACCTTCACTGTCTGTACCTCTGTGTGTATATTGTGTAGGCTGCCTCCCTCCCCTCTCTCTCTCCTTACATCCCTCTCTCTTTCTCTCTCTCTCTCTTTTCTCTCTCTCTCGCTCTCTCTCACCCCAACCGGTCGAGGCAGATGGCTGCCCACCCTGAGCCATGGTTCTGCTCGAGGTTTCTGCCTCTTAAAAGGAAGTTTTTCCTTGCCTCTGTCGCCTAGTGCTTGCTCTTGGTGGGAATTGTTGGGCTTCTGTAAATATCATCACAGAGTATGGTCTAGACCTGCTCTTTTATGAAAAGCGCTGTGAGATAACTGTATATATATGTATTTATATAAATAAAATTGAATTGAATTGAATTGAATGTCACAGCTGTAATTGAGACTCATCAGACAAGGCAACATTTTTTCAGTCTTTTATTGTCCAATTTTGGTGAACCTGTGCAAATTGTAGCCTCAGTTTACTATTCTTAGCTAACAGGAGTGGCACCCAGTGTGGTCTTCTGTTGCTGGAGTCTACAACCCACACAAGTGGCTCAGGTAGTGCAGCTCATCCAGGATGGCACATCAATGCGAGCTGTGGCAAGAAGGTTTGCTGTGTCTGTTAGCGTAGTGTCCAGAGTGTGGAGGCGCTACCAGGAGACAGGCCAGTACATCAGGAGACGTGGCGGAGGCCGTAGGAGGGCAACGACCCAGCAGCAGGTTGCTCCTCCGCCTTTGTGCCAGGAGGAGCAGGAGGAGCTCTGCCAGAGCCCTGCAAAATGACCTCCAGCAGGCCACAAATGTGCATGTGTCTGCTGTCAAACGGTCAGAAATAGACTCCATGAGGGTGGTATGAGGGCCCGAAGTCCACAGGTTTTGCTTACAGCCCAACACCATGCAGGACGTTTGGCATTTGCCATAGAACACCAAGACTGGCAAATTCACCACTGGCGCCCTGTGTTCTTCACAGATGAAAGCAGGTTCATACTGAGCACATGTGACAGACGTGACAGAGTCTGGAGACGCCGTGGGGAACGTTCTGCTGCCTGCAACACTCCAAATCCAGACCTCCATGGGTTGATAAATTTGATTTCCATTGATAATTTTTGTGTGATTTTGTTGTCAGCACATTCAACTATGTAAAGAAAGGAATATTTGATGAGATTATTTCATTCATTCAGATCTAGGATGTGTTATTTAAGTGTTCCCTTTATTTTTTTTAGCAGTGTATGTTTATACAAAGGATACTACTCAACATTATTAAAAACTGAAAAACTTCCATCAAATGTTTACAACTAGTGTTTTTATACACAAGGAGCTATTTTGCGGCTAGTCACGAGCCACTTGAAGGAAATCACAAAATATCTGCTCATTAAATGGATGACTTGGATATTTTTAGTCTGTAACATGTTGATATGAATAAATTATCCTATTCCAGTGTGGCTACTGAGCGAGTATGTTCAGTCAAACACTATCCTCTTGAACAAACATAAAAGCATGCCAGTGTTTTTGAGAGCAAAGAGCCGATGTCGCTGTTGTAAAGGTCACATCAGTTCAACACAAACACAATCTACAATTCCATCATCAACTGCCATTTATTAGTATCAAACCACTGCTACAAAATTACATCAAACATGATGAAAATGGACTTGCATACGTGCTATACACAATGTAAGCTTTAAAGTAATTAAAGTACATGGATTTTTCTTATTTCTGGACAAATATCAATATATTTATATATATTATATAGATATATCAATGCCACTTAAAGCCATATATCATTCCAGTGATCTAGAGCCTATAAATGTACAACTATATCCCTGGTGGCTAGATGACCTTCATACACATTTGAGTAAACATTTCCATTCCAGGTTTCTCATCACATTGTTCAAGATGATGATTTGAAGATTTTAATTAAAGAAACAAATGAAAAAAAGAAAATGTATGAATATTTTTAGGATGTTCCCATCAGCCTTATAATGTCTGTTCCCATTGTTTGTAAAAAGGAAAAAAAGAATAGCATATGTAAATATATTCAATTCACAGAAACAAAACAGAAGAAATGCTGCACCTCATACCTTGAACTCTGACTCTATTTAAACAAATACAACACTGAAGACGCATATGATGAACTGGTGCTACGAGGAACTGATTAGTTGTGTCATTCAATGAATGTAAAACAATGTGTAATCTGCCTTTTGAGGCATGAAAACAAATGCAATTGGATTACATATACTGTCAGTCAGATCATGACACTTTCTCTATGGCAACCCTGTGCAATCCTTCATGAAAACTGACAATTGACTGGGAGCTTCACGTGAAAACACTTCGCAGCTTGTGATTCAGTCATCGACGTCATGGAGAGACCTGGCTTAGATAGCTTGCTTTAAAACCCAGGCTTTATCTCAGGCTCTGCATCATTGCCTGGCAACTTATTTTCCAGTTCAGTGGAAATAATGAGGGACAGGTTGACAAATACTTTATGCAACCTCTTTTTAAAATACCCACCCCAGCCCCACTGTATTTGCAGCTGCCACTATCAGAGGGATTCCAAAGAAAATGGAGTAAGAAATTACTCACTGTTTTTGTACCAATTGAAATGTTTGAGAGAAAAGAAAGAAGGCTATTTCAAAAAAAACCTGAACATTTTCTTTTTCCATTTAGAACTGAATCAAACTTGCCCAGAGGCTGGTTATAGAGAAAGAAATTCAAGTTTTTTTTCTTTCTACCAGGACAGGAGAGGTAGTGTTTGCCTGCTGTGAAACAAACATATCTACCAAACTGAATGCTCGCACTCAAGAAACAGAGTTTTTTTTGATACTGACAATTCAGTATGCTGCTCAGGGAAGTGTGATGGCCACTGCAGGAGCCAGGCAGCAGCTCCAGTGTGTAGTATGACACAATCTCCCAGTTAAAACTGACAAAGGCACAGGAAGGGTTTTATTAACCGCAGGGTCAGGAGGAATCCCTCTCTCACTACTCCTCCACCCTTCTCTCTGTTTACGGTGGCCACAGCCGCCTTTGTGAAGAGCCAAACAACACCATGCCAATCATTTTCCATAACCTACAGTGAATGCTGCCTTAATTCTGCTGCAGGATAACACAGTTTTACATATATTAATTTGCAGAATGAAAACTGCACACGTAAAGCGTGTGCTGAAAACATAGGTTGAATATCTGTATTGGTTGCACTAAAAAATTGTCAGTGTATATGCCACTTGCAATATGTTGCCTCACCTCCCTACATCAGCTTTTATTGGCAACACAGTGTATGTGCTCCTGCTGGTGCACATGGAGTGTCACACCAGTCTCTGGATTTGTCGTGATGTTTCTTACCGTGACATCCAGAGTCACACACATCATCCGCAAAATAAATTCTCGCTGTTTGTTTAAACTTTTCAAGCTGTGTTATTATTATTTTAGATGGTGTCAGGCACAGTACAGTATGTCAATAACAGAAAAGATTAATACACCTTCCTTGCATTTCAAACACATCCCTGCCTATAATAAAGAAGTGAAAACAAACAGTAAGGATACTTTGTCAGTACAGTTTGACCTGATAATATCCAGGATGAAGATGATTTGAACCCTGCTTCTGTTTCTCTGGGAGATAAATTCATATTACTGCATTGAACTTTAACTATGCGTTAATCACAATAAATTTAATTTAACTATGTTTAATTTAATACCTTTTATTTGTATTCTATGCTACTTTGGAGTTACATGTGTCAGAATAACTGTAAACTATGTTTGTGCTGTTTTTCGCTTCTATGCTCACACTGCATGTTTGGTTAATGTTATAACCAATCACCAATGTAATGAAAACTGTTAAGTGAGAAATTATTTTTCACAGCTAAAAGATGCGTACAGGAGCTTTAGCTTGTTGTGGCAACAATGCTCTAAATAAGGGTTAAGTATGAATGATAAAATACTTAAAGGCACATTCAGTAAAGTACTTGTCCCCCTCCGAGAGTTCAAACAGCTGTTGTTTCACAATGCAAAAAATCCAAATCCTAAAATTGTGATAAAGGCATTCAAACAGGACAGTATGATTCTGATCGAGGGTGAGAGGAGGAGGATGCTTTGAAATGGACAATTTAAAAATTCAGGGTGGGGATTGAGGGGGCCATAATAATACGTACTAGCATGAATATTTAGAATCCTCTTATCTTAAATTTAAAAGTGGAGAGATTTCTTTCCTCCCCACCGCTGTCAGCTGGGAGCGCGAGGTGAGGCAGTGATCTCTGCAGGTGTGTGGCGTGGCCTCTTTTCAGCTTGTACATCAACATGACTTTTTCAAGTGAACTTTTTATGGGGTAGGTCACACAACCCGTGGATGTTTTAGTCAAGAATGTATTCAGGTCATAGGACACTCGAAAGCCTGTTTCGGGGGAAAAAGGTATAATAGAGACCCAGGTGCGGTATTGGACAAGAATGAGCAGTGGTTTACATTTGTAAATATCTCCAAATCACATATACTGAGCGACACACTCAAGTCACTGATGATGATGATGATGATGATGCAGTGCAAACAGTGGATAATCCTATGTACTGTTACATCTGGCCATCTGGACTCAGGAGGATTTAAACAGTTTTTGAGGGCAAAAGGGGAGGGGATGAAATACGCATGATACGGCAAAATTAAGAAGACTCAATAACTCAAGCTACACTGTACAAACAGACTGATATGTCCCTCAAGCCTGGAGAACAGTCCAAGTTGTGTTGGAGTCAGGTTTGTCCAGGACAGGCCTGAATATTCAAAGATCCTGATTTATGTGATCAAAATATTAGTGTGTTATATTCTTAAAAGTATAACCGAGGGATTCTGACTGTTATTCACTATGCTTTAGCTTTAGCCGTCAGCCAAAACTCGACTGCTATCCAGCAACAATGTACCGGGCTGGATTTTCATGTATGCAGTCAGGCAACGTAAGATTGTTAACCGACCAACAGACTCTTGACTCAGCTGGTCTTTTTGAACAGCAAAAAGGCATAATCCTTGCTAAGTTATTAAAAAATTGAAATGGTACAGGGCGGGGGTTTTTGCTCTCCAACAAACCATCTTTGGTTTTGCCGAGCGTACATGCACCAGCTTGAGATGCCAAGAGTTAATTTTGTAGTTTAGCTAACTCACTCAATAAACGTTGATACATCTTACAAAATCTAAAAATGAAAAGCGTGCTAACTGGGCGAATGGAGAATATAGTGACAGGAAATTTTATGTTTTAAGGAGGACATTGTCGTCATGGCGCACGCTGGCTCAAACCCTGTCCTGGTGATAATGACAGCCTCTTTGAGTGCTCATTAACTCAGATATGGGTTTATATTGTAACATGAAGACTTTTATTGCAAATAATAGTGATTTGATAAAAGGGAGTTAATAATACCATTATTCAAAATAATCAACATCCAGTACATTTCATATGGATTACTAGCATGATCTTAACTGCTTAGACAAGCAACCAACAATAACTCCAGACTGTCACCAATGTGCCACAATAATCATCATGACTCTGAATAGCAGTTGTTTTAGTTTATCAGCAAAGATTGATTCATATAAATCACAAACAAACATAGCCTAGTGGTCTGTAGGAGGTATGCATTTTTAGACCAGGTTTAAGAACCAAACTTTTGGAAAAAACTGGTTGCATTCATAAAAAGTATGAATATCTGTAAAATGGCCACCTCAAAAACACAGGTTAACTTTGACATGCAGCACAACCATACTCTCTGCACATCATCAAACACGCAAGTGTGTGAAAACTATGACTACACACTGGCTCTAAAGGTATCCTATTTTCTCCAAATATACACACATTGATTCTGTTCTATAATACTGTTATATTGGTTCACACCCTCTCTGTTTCAAAAAGTAGGTAATTTGATTGCAAACATTGTTCTTTTTAATGTACTCCTCTGACGAAAAATCAACAACAGTTATGGCATCTAAATGAACCCCACAACATTATAAACTATGCCATACTGTGCCTCATTCAAATAAATGTCACATATCCAGTTTTACATGTTTCAAATCTATTTTTTATACATTGTTTTCATAAAGGAAGAGAATAAATATACTTTTGACCCATTTTCATTATACCTTAACATTTAAACAAGATCATATGGTGCAGTATTTTCATAATTTGTAAAACAAACTGATAACAATTTCAGTACAAACAAAAAAAAAGGAAAAAAAATGTTTAGCAGACCTTAAATCATCACAAAATGTAAAAGTAAAAACAATGTTTGTGCTTTAAGTCTTTTAACTGCGATGGCTATTTCTCTATAGGTATGCAGTTACAAGTTCATGTGAAAATACTGTGTGAACTAATTCGGGTACTGTTAGACCCTCGATGCTGGGGCAAAATATAAAACAATTCATATCCAAACAAGACCTGCAAACATGTTAACCTGTATGACAAATACTGCATTTTTATCAGATGCAACTGGTTTATTTGAAAATACCTGCGAGTTGAGAAATTGGGGATATAATGCCTAATTTGAAAGATAAGATCAGCTATTGGTTTATGAACATTCAATAATCAGTAATATGTCAAACAAATGAGTTGTATCTTATTGAGAGCTTCTGGAAGTGTCCTTCTAAAGGAGGTTCATTTAATGTCTATGGTACTATTAAGGCATTACAGTACAGTATCTCTGTTTACACCATGGACTGAAGATACTTGAGGATGAATATGACGGTCTCTGCAAGTAAACCTTTACAATAACATTGTTTTTAAGCGTTGATGTGGTTGATTTCAATAAAAAAAAGCCACGTTCTCTCATATTAAACAACCTCATGGTTTAATTTATTCTCTACTCTGCTGGACGTTCTCTGGCCCTGTGGACACTGATCAGCTGTTATGAACAAAATGGACACTCACAGGCCATGTTTGTAGTGATGAAAATGTTCATAGGGTTTATTTTGTGTTCTGTTGCTCATAATTAACACGAGAAGGACTTAGATTGGAGCCAAAACAGGTTTCTTTTTTGAATGTTTTTTGTACTTAACCAAATATGTGGGTGTAAATGCCAGAAATCTTAAGTTACATGGCCTTTGGCTCTCTGGATGTCTTTTATTTGTTAACTGGCACAATGAAGTAGATACTGTATATTTACTGTAAAAAAAAAAACCCACTTGAATATATTTAAGTATTGAATAATCTCTAATGAAAAACAAAGGAAGAAAATACTGTGCTGCAGAATGCTGCTTTCCCAGAATCCATTTTTTAAGTATGGTGCCAAAGGTTGAAGCCAAAAAACTTCAAGCGACCTACAGTGTGCAGCTGTGGGTTTTTCCGTCAGTAGATGATCAGTAGGTACACAACAAATTCAGAGACAAAATGCTCCGCTTAGACGCCCACTGGAAGTGGCATGTTTCAAAGAACTGCATCTTTAAGGGAAAAGCTTAAAACAGTTGAACTTGGGCTCTGCCTTTTCTTCTCAACTGAAACAGTTTGTTGTGACATTCTCACAGGAAAAGAAAGTATGAAGTATATACTGTAGTATTTATATTTTGAAGAAGAATGTAAACATAGGGCAGCGATGTTCCTCCCTTCACACTGTACAAAGTCATGAACTGTTTTACTGTTCTTGGTCGAATGAGAAAAGCTGGTCCCACTTTAAAACAAAGCCTACACTATATTAAAATATAAAGATACAATACAGTATACTTTGCTACTTTGACGGCTGCCTGATCTGTTAGGCAGGCATAGTAACTGAAGGACCCATTTCAGAATACAACAAAGCACACCTTCAACACTGTTCATCCATCTACTGAGTAATCATGACAATACAGGTCCTGGAAAAGCCCTGCCTTTTTTGTTCTTTTGTTTTTTTTTTCTGTTTTTTTCCCTGTTTTTTTTTAAGCGCACTCCATAATCAGAATTTGTATTGTTTGGAATCTAAATGTCTTTCCTTTGTTCGACAACCCCATAATACATTCAATACAACATTGGTATGGTAATTCTGCGTACTGAGAGACTTGGCACAATCGCTTCTTTTTAGCCATGTACAAAAATGGATGAAAATGTAAATTTTGCGCCATTGCCTCACACAGAAAGAGGCATGAAAGTAACTCATTTGGGAAGTTTGGGGGCTTTTGATATGAGTGGAGGTGGAGCGGGGCTGGGGGTGAGCACTGATTCACAAGGTAGTCAATCAATCCCAAAAGAAGAGAAGAAATAATAATAATAATAAAAAAAAACAAACATCATAGTATTTACATGACAGAAATTTCACCAAAAAGCGAAGAAAAGAAAATGAAAAAGAAAGTAACGCTGATTATTTTCCCCTCACGGCTTTTCAACTAACTGTACCAGATTGGAATCCAGCCATCAGCAATGTCAAAAAGGATTCATAAATGCTCTCGACAGTCATTGTGTCTGGGCTGGCCTCTGCTAGTACACGCTGATGAAGGAGGAGAGAGCCAGGACCAGGTATCGGCAGGCCAGCGGGACGTACGCGCTTCCTGTGCTCCCATAGGGTGCAGTGTTGGGCGCTGTGGGCAGGAAACAAGAGAAGCTCTGATTAGTTGTGATTGCACTTTCATTCAGCAGCACCCACCATTTGAAAGCCTGCAGTCAGCTTGGCGTGGTGCTTCCAAATGGGACTGTAAAAACTGCAATTACCGTACAACTGCCGCTGTTTTGAGTTGTTTTCTTGTAAGAGAAACTTCTACTTGACAACACTGATGCTCATGTATATTCTGAACAGTGGTGGAAGAAGTACTCAAATCCTGAAGTTAGATAAAAGTACAAACTGCACAATGTAAAAATACTCCATCCATCCATCCATCCATCCATTATATTCAGCTCAGCGCAATCCGATTACATAAAATACATGCATTTAAAATCCCACTTAAGTAAATGTACAGATGGATCATCAGCAAAATGTAACTTAAGTATCACCGCACCCCTAATAGTGCCTTATTAAATTCTTAATACTATACATCAAAGCGTAAACAGCACTCTACTGTTGTTGCTGGTTGAAGAGGATTTGGCATTAAGTTCTTTATCTACAGTTAGGTAGTTTAGTCCAGCAGTTCCCAGCCTGGGGGTTAAGCCCCCTCCAAGTGGTCACAAGATAAATCTGAGGGGTCATGAGATGATTAATGAAGTCAAGTCAGGTAGAGCAAATTTCTTAATACAGCAAATTTAAGAACTACAACTACACACTTGTAGTCCACTTACGCAGGTGTTGCTTGATTAGACCTCCTCTCAGATCTGACTGAGGGAGCAGACAGTCCAGGCTTGATTGACAGCTCTCCTCTCGTCCTGCTTTTTGTTAAATCACGTAATTCTCACCATAGCTCCACCCAGCCTTAACCTGACTGAAGGGTATAATCAGAGTAACTGAAAACTCCTACGTGGTTGTGCAGGACATTTAATCTGAAAAGTAGATAGAATAATAAGTGACGACATCTCTCAAAAAAAGCGGAGTAAAAAGTAAGAATTTCCCTGTAATGTAGTGGAGTAGTAGTATATAGTAGCATTAAATTATACTTGTGCTTGATTAAATGTTCCTCTTTTCTCTCCATCACAGATTCTAAAATACTTTTCTTCCACCTCATAATTTTCTATTCGGGTGTAAAAACACTTATCCCTGTTTCCCCCTCGTTCATATTAGTGGTACAAAAAAAGCCATCAGTGGAGAGAGGAGAATAGATGAGGCCAACACGAGGTCTTTTCTCCACATTCCTATCGAAAGGCGCCTTTGTTTTGCGCTGTTTGTGTTTCTCTGACCAGCAGACAGCCACAGTAATATGAACGGGCCTCCCTGGAGAGCTGCGTCAGGCGGGACAGAGAGGGAGAGGGCAGTCTTTCATTTGGAGAGGCTACTCTGCCTCCTCAACACAGACACACTCTTTTAGCTTGTAGCTCAATAAAGAACGCCTTGCAGGTTACAAAACATGCTCTCCCTCAGTACTCATACACACACACACACACACACACACACATAGTATGTACCTGCATGTACAGGTCACATGCACACATGCATGTCTACAAACACACACACACACACACACACACACACACACACACACACACACACACACACACACACACTAACAGCATAGCAAGGCAGTCCAAACAGGCTCTGCTCTACCAGGGGAAATCATGTGGTGCACAGCCCATATCAGCAGGGTGCCTCTATTTACACGGCCATGTAATTAGTTCACAATGTAACTCCTATGATGTGGACCTCACGTTGCACAAACACACCGAGCAAGGGGAGAAACTACATACCTACCTACCTACCTACACACACACACACACACAGATACTGCACACACAGATGCAATCATGAACATATAAAGTCCTTTTCTTCGTGCATTTCTGAGGTTAGTCAACGACTTGGAGCTGCACGTTTTGCAAGAGGATTGTTACCCCACTGTGCAGCTGTTATTGTGGACTGTATATTTATTCAATGAGAGCTGGTTGTCATTAGAGTGGCATATGGCTGCTGGTTTGTTAAAATAAATACAGTGAAGCAGAGACTGATCTTTTTTTTTTTAACCAACATAATAGCTTGTTGGTGGCAATTTTCACAGGAGATGCCTGGGAGAGAGACACATATCCCATTATCACCTGACACAGCACTGCTTTTACCTGATATTTTCAAGCATTATTTGTCGGCACTGGAGTTGTTTACCTATTAGAGTGAAAACTATAGCTCCGCTGACAGACGGGAAAATTGGGGAAAAAAGGTAAAAGTAGTGAACAGAGGAGCACAAATGGGTGCAAATTTTGATGATGTGCGCGTTAGATGCATGGTTGGCTTGTGTGAACTGCAGCCCCCCCCCTTTTTTCTCCTTGTTTCTGCTTTTCTATCTTTGTCTCCCTTTTCTACCTCATTCTCTCTCTTTGTAACCCCCCCACCCCCCGCTCTGTCACTTTCTCTCTTCTCCAATCCAAAGTACAGGATAATGACACACTTTTCCTGGGCTATGAGAGAGAGAGAGCGAGCGAGCTGAGAAATGGTAACCATAGCAACAGCTCCTGTCCTGCTCAGCCGGCCCACTGTTGCCGGAGCCTGAGTGCGCTGCATTGTGGTAGCCACGCTAGCAGATTCATTTGTGGGGGTGTGTGTGTGTGTGTGTGTGTGTGTGTGTTTGTTGCGGTGGGTGGGGAATAGGCAGATGTCACTATTTCCCTTCTTCAGTTTCTCATCTCATCAGTGTCAGTGTAGTTTCTGGCTCAGCAAATGCTGCAGTAATCACATTAATATCTCGTAGACAACTGCTTTTCATGCAGCAGTTCAGGGAGCTCACAAGGCAATTACTGGATCTCTGCTATGACTAATGTTGACTGGGCTGGAGAGTGTAACAATAAAGCCCTCAGTACTTCAGGAGGGGAAGTGCAAAGGGAGGTTGGGGTATAGTCAGTGTTAGTGGGTTCCTGCCTCCTCACAGAGTTTGATTTTGGGCTTGTTTAATATCTCCCTGTGTCGCAGCGAAAAGCAGGGGCCTCCGTTGCTTTGACTGTGTGGGTTGTAACTTGCCATTTTAATTAACTCCCCAACCAACAACTGCCTGCAACACCATTACTCTGCTTATTAACATGAAGGGAATAGAAGGGGAAAGAGACAGAGATGGACGCAGAAGAAAGAGAGATGCAGGGGAGAAGAAAGGGGAATCAAAGGAGGAGAGAGCCGGGAAAAAGACAGTGATTGAAAGGGGTGCAAGAGCAAAGCTGCAGCAGCAGCGGACAGGAAAGAGGGAGGGGGGCTATGACTGAGCTCTACCCCTCTTTGGGGTTTGAATTTAATTGCCATGTACATCAGCATCAAGCTACAATGAAGTACCAGAATCCCAGACAATATATCATAGAGAAACCAACAGTGTCGAGATGCGGGAAGACGCTGGGAAGACAAGCGGCGCTCCAAAGGGAGAGGAGCGGAGGAGATAAGTGGAGATGAAAGCGATACGCTTCAATTACTGTTTTGCAACCGAATTGAAATGAAAAACTAGAGCCTCCACAGCAATAGCCAGAGTCATATGAAAATAACAATCCTTGGTTCTCACCTCTGATTCAGGACTGGAGCCATCAGCTTTAAATAGTGTGCTGCAAGTATGAGCCACACACTCTTCTCTCTCATCCTTCTCCCCCATCCCTCCCAAATCTCCATCAACAGCAGTTTTGTCACCCACATATCATATGCACAACAAACGCTAAGGCCCTGAACCTCAGTCACTGTTGACACAGATAATGAATCATACTGAAATATGCAACAGTGACACTCGATGCAGGGTTTGTGTTGAGTACCATCTCGAGTGTTATGCACTGCACTGTAATTCACTGGAACATCATCATTCATTAGGTAATAGCATGAGCTACTTTCCAGTCCTCTTTTCAGCCCTTTAACCATCACACGTTGGTTTGTAAGGTTTTCAGAAATTCAGAAATCCATTCAGAAATTCTCAATCCACTTGCATTAAGTCTCACACATGTTCCACAAAGTACATGTGAAAGCGCAAGAAGAATAGAAAAAAATCTCCCATGTTTGTGTGTTGGATTGAGTCACCAATTCATTCATTTGTCATTTAGCAGATGATTCATCCCCTGAGTTGGTTGTATCGTCCAAGCGGGCTGTCACTAGCGGCGCACACACGGCAGCCAGCCAGGCAGCATCCCAATCCCCCCGTGGACATGGCTTCAGAGTTGGTCTCTTCTGAACAAGGGGGTGGGGGAGGGGTTCAGTGTCCTTGACCATCAATCAGTGGCCTCTGGTCCTCCCCTCTGCAGCTCCCCTGAGAAAGCCCACATGAGACACTCCTGAGCCAGAACTGATCCTGAACACACCATGCTGTAAATCGGGCTAAATCCCTCTACATGCAAGGTTCAGAGCAACCACCAAGGGTGTCTTTAACTCAGTACAGCACACACTAAAAGCAGGTCTTGCGTTAGTCTTTGGTAAAGAGTCTAAACGTAATATCTTGCAACGCTGATGACATTTGATGAGCACTTCTGTGCTTACACACAGACAGTGTGCAAGCACTTTATAGAAGGAGCTAAAGACATTTTCCATGCTTACCTTACCTCAATACACTGACAGTGAAATACACCGGTCCCCTGCGTCATTCATCTTATACCCTCGTGCCTGTAGCAGTTTGCCATATTGAGTTGCCGCACAATTGACTTGCCGACCTGTCAGCTCATTCATCCATTCCTCTCTCTGTTCCTCCTGTTCTTGTACAAGCAAAATGTTCATCATGACCACATATGATGTTCAAAACTCATCACCTTCGTCTCCCGCTATCATCATCACACACACTGCTGCTCCGCAGAGCCCTCATTCACACGGACCTTCAAGCTCATTAGCCCCACCAATCTTTTGCATTAGTGCTAGTAATGAAAAGCCTCCATTAATAAGATGGCCTTCAGAGATCATTTACCCACCTCCGCCTCCCAATACTGCCATATCCTCCCCCCCAACCCTCCCTCCTTCCACATCCTGGTACCTGCCGGTTATCAACACCCTGCAGAATGCTTTTTGGGG